AGGTGGAGGAAGAGACCGTGAGCTGAGGGATGCAGGCTGTGGCTGGAAGAAGCAAGGGAACGGATTCTCCTCCTAGAGCTTCCGGAAGGAACTCAGTCCTGCCGATACCTTGAGGTTAAGGCTTCCGATCTCCAGAACTGTCAAGAGAATAAATTTGTGTTGTTTTAAGCCGTTGCGCGTGTGGTATTTTGTCACAGCAGCAACAAGTAACTAATACCACCGCTTGTAAGCATCAGCTCATGTAATCCTCACAACTCCATGAGGCGGTTGGGAAGCGTACTATGATTATCCCCGTTTTGCGGATGAGGAAACTGGGGCAGGGAGCGGTTAATGACTCTCCCAGGGCTGAGCAGCCAGTGTGTGAGGTGACTGAAATGGGCTTTGCACCCCTTCGGGCTGACCCCAGAGCCCGCTAACCCGTGTGGCAGTCCAAGGAGCGAGAGGCGGACTGTGGCGGGCCTGTGGGCAGCCTGGCTGGCCACCTAGGCCTCCGAAGGCCTCCCGGTCCACCTGCCCGTCCCCTGTAGCCACGGGAGGCCGATCACAGGCCACGCCCATCCGCGCATCCTGATACATCCAGAAGGTGCTTTCCGTGCCGCAGCGCGCTTTGCCTGCACAGACCACACCAGCAAGGTGCAGCGGCCAAAAGAACACGTGCTTCTCCACCTGCGGGTGATGGGTGATGTCTGAAATTCCACCCTTAGTTTTGTCACTTTTGCTTCGTTATCCCTTCTGTGACTCACTTCAGACTTAGGGGGCGAGAGCTTACCCCTGGTCCGTCCCTTCACTCAGGAACCAGGTCCACTTCTAGCCTCAGGCACTCCATTGTGGCCAAGTGTTGAAAGCTACCTGCTGGGAGAGGCCCTGTCGCCACAGGCTGGGTCTCTGCCAAAGCTGCCCTCTGCCCCCGCCCCGGTGAAACATCTGTGTTCCATTCCTTGCCGGGAACAAGTTGTGCTTGAAGCCCCGGGGCAGGCGGTGAAGGGGAGGGCGGCCCTTTGCTGAGCTGTGTTCTGTGCCCCACACCAAGTATACTCAGTAAACCCACAGCTCTTGTTTATTTTACTTTTAAAGAATAATAACTAGTGTGGCCTTGTATTTGCTTAGCCTAAAAGACCTCTCCTTTCCCCCCGCTTTTCTCCGTATCTCCCTTCATTTTGCCGCATAACATTATTCTTTTTTAAAAACAAATCAAGGTATTACTTATACGCAATAAAACTCACTCAAGTGAATTTCGCTCGAGTTTGACGAATGCCAAGCAATGTGTACATCGTGTGACCATTACAGCAAAGGTGGCGAATGTTTCCACGCCTGAAAAAGCTTCCTCGTGCCCCCCGGCTAGTCAGTCTCCCCAGCTGCGGCCCCAGGCAGCCACTGAATCCACTTTCTGTCACTAGCATTTATTTTTTTCTAGAATCTCCTAAGAATGGAATCATAGTATGTAGTCTTTTCTTGTAGTGTTTGACTTCTTTCACTTACCGTAATGCTCTGGGGGTTCTTCGGTGTCATTGCACGTATCGGCAGTTCAGTTCATCTGATGGCTAGGGAATGTTCCAGTGTGTGGGCACAGCACACTTTGTGTATCCATTCACCCCTTGATGGATATTTGGATTGCTTCCAGTTTGGGGCCATCATGGAGAAAGCTACTCTGAACATTCACACACACAGGGATGTGTGTTTCAGCTTCTCTTGGGTAAATTCCTAGGAATGCAATGTGTGGGTTGTGCAATAACTTTATAAGCGTGCTTTTATAAGAAAGTTGCTTTTTAAGTATCATTTGACTGTATGATATACTTGCATCAATTTTTCCAAAGTTGGGTGTACCATTTTTCACTCCCAAGTTCCTCCACATCCTCACCAAAAACTGATATTGTCGTTCTTTTTTAATGTTGGCCATCTAGTGAGTAGATCGTGGTAGTTCACTGTAGTATTTCATTATAATTCGCATTTCTGGGATGATGAGTGATGTTGAGCATATTTCCATAGGTTAGTTAGTTCCTTTTCCAATGTATCTATTCATTATTTTGCCCATTTTGTTAGGTTGCTTGTCTTGTTTATTGAATTGTGAGAGCTCTTTATATATTCGGGATACAAGCCCTTTATAGATAATATGTTTTGGAAAATTTTTTCTGCCAATCTCGCATGAGTTTGTTATTTTTTTTTAATGTTTATTTATTGAGAGAGAGAGAGAGAGAGAGAGAGCACAAGCAGGGGAGAGGCAGAGCAAGAGGGAGACCCAGAATCCCAAGCAGGCTCCAGGCTCTGAGCTGTCAGCACGAAGCCCGATGCGGGGCTCAAACTCACAAACCGTGAGATCCTGACCTGAGCTGAAGTCGGATGCTTAACTGACTGAGCCACCCAGGCACCCCCTCCCATGGGTTTATTCTTGATAAGAGATGGTGATATTGTGTGGAAAGAGCTCTGTGGCTCTGCTGCTCCATAGCTGTTCCTTCCTGGGCAGACTCTTTCCCCTCTACGAGCCTCAGTTTCTTCATCAGTAAAACGGGAACCAAAAAAAACTATTCTGCCTTCCTCACAGTGTTGTTAGGGGCCCTGATCAGAATCATGATCATGAAAGCATTTTGTAAACTCCTCAGGTGCATAAGTTGGTTAACAGTGTTGTCAAGTTGCTGTCGCATCCTGTCTGCGTCCCTCCCCTCAGGGCACACATTATCTGTAAGGGACAGCAGTGCAGAGCAGACATGCCTCAGTCAGTCAAGGATGGATTGCCAAGGAGGGGTGCATTTGGGAGCAGAGGCCTCCTGGGCTTCAGGAGGAGGGAGGTGCTCAGTCACGCAGCCCAGCATGCTCCCAGTGTCTCCCCTGGGACAACGCTGGGAGCACAGCTGTGACAGACCCTCAGACCCGTGGGGCCGACCAAAGAGCGAATGACGACTGTAGGGCTGGGGGGAACATGCCCCAGTGCAAGAGGTAGCAGCACTGCCCAGGATCATGACAGAGGCCTTGACCCTGTTGTGAAGGACAGTCCTGCAAGGGCTGATGCTCGAAGGAGGGCAAAGAGTCATCCAGGCAGAAGGAACAGCCTGTGCAAAGTCATGTGAGCCAGCCCAGCTCATGCCCTGGCAGATCCCAGTGCTTTGCAGGGAGCCGCAGTGGTGGCCACTGGGACACACGTGACACCTAATGACCTGGTTATTGTTCCCAGGATCGCCCCGAGGTGGCTGAGGCTGAAGTTGGGTGCCCCTTTGCTGGTGTTGGCTGCTCCTACAAGGTAAGCATCTGGGTGTGAGAAAGGAGACCTGCCCACTTCAGCCCCTCCCAGATTTTCCCACATCAAGCTACTCCTCTGGATGTCCCTTACATTAATGACTTCCCCGAGCAACAAATCCCACTAGTGAATCATCCCCATACTCAGGAAAGTTCTTCTTAATGTCTTACCTGGGCCCTGTAGCATCGCTAAAATACACCCCCTCCCCCACCCCCCCACCCCCACCCCCGGGCCTCTCTCCGTGGTCCTGAATTATCACTGCACTCAAGGGCAGGGCAGAATTGTTGCTCTAGAGGCTGGGGTGCACATGGCTCAGCCTGGGCGTGTCTGATGCCAGGATCCTCATCCAAATCCCTCTTGCTACACACACCCTTGTGCTGGGTGAATGGATCTGACTTTCCTTGGCAGCTGTTGGGTGGCAGGTGTCTCCCCTGGTCCCTGGTTCTTCTCAGCCTTCTCTGTTTTCACTGACCAGCCCCGCTCTCTCGACAGGGGAGCCCAAAGCTCATGCAGGAGCATGAGGTCACCTCCCAGACCACCCACCTAAACCTGCTGTTGGCGTTTGTGAAACAGTGGAAGGCCCAGCTGGGCTCTGGCCTGGGCTCTGGGCCCCTGGCCCTGGAGCAGAATCTGTCAGACCTGCAGCTACAGGCGGCCGTGGAGGTGGCTGGGGACCTGGAAGTTGACTGCTACCGGGCACCCTGCTCTGAGAGCCAGAATGAGCTGGCCCTGCAGCACTTAATGAAAGAGAAGCTCCTGGCTGAGCTAGAGGAGAAGCTGCGTGTGTTTGAGAACATCGTCGCTGTCCTCAACAAGGAGGTGGAGGCTTCCCACCTGGCTTTAGCAGCCTCCATCCACCAGAGCCAGCTCGACCGTGAGCACATCCTGAGCTTGGAGCAAAGGGTGAGCATGGGAGGCAAGCTTACCTTCAAGGCTGGCTCGGGGGTCCCCTTTGCCCCATCTTGTCTCCAGAGCAGCGGACCAGCCGCCTTCCTTCTAAGCATTCTCCGCGCGCAGAGCAATCACCCCTGCCCGTCAGAAATATCTCTCCCGTGCTCAGGAAGAGCACCGAGTCTCAAGTTGTAGTCCAGGGCAAACTCCTCCATCCAGTATGCTTCATTTCCTTTGCCTGAACTTCTTCCGTGATAGGATAGTCCCTTCCCAAGCATCTCATTCCACTGGTAGACATTGTTCACTATGAGAAAGTTCTTCCTTATGCTAAACTAAAATCAGCCTCTCTGTGTGTCTCCCCTGCATTGTTCAGGGTCCACAAAACAAATCTGCCTTCTAGTCCCCATAGAAGCCCTTCAGATATAGTGTTTCCTTCTTGAAGCTAAACATTCCTGGTGTGTTCACACCTTCATCAAAGCACATTGCTTCATGCTGTCCTCATATGCTCTGTCTCAGTCTCTAGAGAATTCCCCACACTTGGGGGGTGGTCCCAGACCAACTCCAGATGATTCACCTATCTGATAGTTCTTGGTTGAGCAGGACTATGCCCTCCTTTGTTCCAGAGCTTATACTTTTCTTGATATAACCAGTCACCATGCTAATGTTGTTTTTTGTTGTTGGGTTTTGGTTTTTGGGGTTTTTTTTGGGGTTTTTTTGGGGGGTGATGGTCCAGCAATACTATATCATTGTCTCAAGTTGAGTTAGGCCTGGATTTTAGTTTCAGCTCCACCATTAACTTGCTGGGTAGGTCTGAGTAAGTCGTTTCCCCTCTCAAGATTTTAGCTTTCCCATCAGTAAAATCAGGGATTCAGTTTCCTTAAAGGATACTCACTTCCATTCCTACCTTCCCTACCCGAACATACCCAAGAATAAATCTGTATTTTTTTCAAATGTCAACGGGCGAACCCACCAGAAGAGCAAGGCACTGGGTTCAAGTGACCGAGTAAAACCTCTCTTCATGTAACTCTTGCCCCAGTTAGAAGGAGGGCTCTCCGAGGGCAGCAACCGTGGCTTCAGTTCATCAACAGCCTTCCTGGCTCTACTCTTACATGCCAGGAACTTTGCAAGGCCTGGACACAGAGAGAGAAATGAGCATGGGCCCAGCCTTCATTAGGAGAAATCATCTATCTGGTAGGAAGGGCAGAAAGATGCATCTTACAAAACCTGCTGTAAGGGCTCTGTAGAACACAGACGAGAGAGAGAGACCAGCTGAGCGAGGGCAGTGGTTGGAGGCTTCCCAGAAGAAAGGCTGTGTGTGCCAGATGCCTGATGGGTAAGTAGAGGTGGCCGGTGGAGAAGAAAGGCAGGGGGATTCCAGCCGGGAGGGACAGCATGAACAGAAACAGATACTTGAGGGAGGCATGGTCAGGAAGGCATACTTTCAGCAGATCTGTCTCTCTATCCTATCATCCCCTCCCCATCCCCAAGCTGCATTCTGGTGTCCCTGGCTGAATGGGCTTCCCCACAGGTGGTGGAGTTGCAGCAGACCCTGGCCCAGAAAGACCAGGCCCTGGGCAAGCTGGAGCAGAGCCTCCGCCTCATGGAGGAGGCCTCCTTCGATGGCACCTTCCTGTGGAAGATCACCAATGTCACCAGGCGCTGCCACGAGTCGGCCTGTGGCCGGACCGTCAGCCTCTTCTCTCCAGGTACCGGCTCCCCCCCGGGGCACAGACCAGCAGGGGGAGGCAGGCTCTCCTGGACCCAGGAAACAAGCAGGGACAGCGGCCCAACTCTGTGACTGCCATGCTGTGACCGCTGAGGCCACACTGGGACCGTGGAGGAGGCAGGCTCCCCACCCAGCCACATGGAGCTGGGGCTGTTTGAACCGGGCACGCCTTCTGCCTCCCTGAGATCAGTCACATTCTGCAAATAGGAGTAAGATTGTTGGCTACTTATGTGGCTATGGGCTACGAGAGAGTGCTGGAGCCAGAGCTCGAGGAAATGAGAGGGGTGCAGAGGATGCTTTCCACAGGGCATCCCGCAGGCCCCTGCCGTCAGAGAGCCAGTGGCCTGAAGTCAGGCCAGTGGAGAGTTCAGTAAAACGTGCCTTCGTAGGTTGTGGGTAGCGGGTGAGTGAGTGCTTTGTAAACCGGGCCATTTCGCATTCATTTCTGGGGCCCCTGGGCCTGGCTGGTTACTCAGTAGACTTTTCTCTGAATTAACCGGTGTCCCTTTCCGTAACAATGTGTATATTTGTGCACAAAGTTCTCGGACCTATGTGCTTTTCCCGACTCCTAACACACATGCGTCTAAGTAAGGGGGTGGATCGTTAGGAGGATTTCTGCAAGTTACAATCTTATTATGGGTTTTTTTTTTTTTTAACTTTTTAATGTTTATTTGTGAGAGAGACAGTGACAGAGACAGAGCGCCAGCAGGGGAGGGGCGGATAGAGAGGGAGACGCAGAATCCAAAGCAGGCTCCAGGCTCTGAGCTGTCAGCATAGAGCCTGACACGGGGCTGGAACTCACGAACCGCCAGACCATGACCTGAGCCGAAGGCAGACACTTAACGGACCAAGCCACCACGGTGCCCCTCTGCAAATTACAATCTTAACAGCCTCTCACGTTTGCCCCAGCTTCATACCTTCCCTGTTCCTCAGCTCCTCTGCACCCGCGACCAACAGGGCTGGGAGGAAGAGAGGCATTGGCCTTTGCCCCACAGCACAGAGCAGGGCTGGCTCCCAAAGCCGGGCCCCTTTCCTCAGGGGCAGCCCCCTTCATGGGGTGGCCTCACCTCCTCCACGTAGGCCTTTTTCCTCACTTCTTTCCAAAGGGGGGGAAAAAGCAAGCAGTGTCTCTGGCTTCCTGTTTTACCAAAATGTAAGGGGACAGATGAGTCAGCCTGTCAGTCTGTCCCTCCTCCACCTCTTTCTGCCTGCCCCCGCCCCACCATCTTCCATCAGCCCCTCCCAGAGGGGCCCTCGTGGTGACAGCCACTGGCACCCACGCTTGGACGGCCCCTTCGGCCACCCACGGAGAGAGCCCACGGGCCCCTCTGCGTAATCACCAGGGGATGATGATTCATCCCTCAGGGGCCTTCGCCGAGGTGGCGGGCAGAACTGTGAGCTGCCCCAGTCTCCCCCAGCTTCCAGGGGGAGCACCACTTGGCCTAGGGCAGCAGAAAGAGGTCAGTGTTGTGGGGTAGGAGCCCTGGCCCCTAGTCCTGGCTCTGCCCCGGGCACACTGTGAGACCAGGGCCAGCCCACTTGCCCTTGCTGGGCTTGGTTTCCCCATTGCAAAATGCACGTTAGTTAAATCAAAAGTGTGGTCCGGGGGCCAACAGCATCACCATCCCCCGTCAGAGATGCACATTCTCAGTCCTCGCCCGGCACGAGTGCATCAAAGTTCAGGCCCGGCAATCTGTGGTCTGACGGCGGGTTAACAGCCACTGAGCTAGATGATCTCCAAGAGCCTGGTTCTCCTTGATGCCCTGGAATGGAGACGAGCTCTGGGTTCCAGCCCCAGACGGCTTAGTCGTAAGCCGCTGACCTTGGGCACGCCTAGCACAGGTCCCAGATTCCTCGTCTGCAGGTGCAATGCCCTCCAGCTACCCCTGTGCTGACTCTGGCTTCCACATTTCAGCTTTCTACACTGCCAAGTACGGCTACAAGCTGTGTCTGCGACTCTACCTGAACGGGGACGGGACGGGGAAGAGGACCCACCTGTCTCTCTTCATTGTGGTCATGAGAGGGGAGTATGATGCTCTGTTGCCCTGGCCTTTTCGGAACAAGGTACGGGCTGGGGGGGGGGGGGG